CCTGCATGGGGACAGCTATTATCATTCATGTCTCAACAACACACATTATGAATAGACACAGGTTCACTCGGATCAAATCAAATCTTCACATCTGATGTTGTCTTTGTTTCGTGTGCACTTGTATTATTCTGTACGCTGTACTAACTTCTTGAAGTTATAATGTAACACAGAACAGAGAGCGAACTGACTATGTGATCATTACACTTGTCAGCTTTTATCTCCTTCACATCTGCATATACATGCTGACGTTTAATACACATTTCATCTAAAAATAACAGACCCGTAAATTGCTATTGTCTCATTTTTACAGCTCTTATCAAAAATTTTGATAAGCTTTGATAAGAGCTGTAAGGCAATTTTGATTCAAAATGGCCTCTAGATATTGGCTTGTTCCTGGTAGCAAGTGTTCACGCTAGCCTTTATTTTAATATAATGAAATTCCCACATTTCGGTAAAATTATGAAAAACATTTAAATAAGGAAACAGGTTTACCTTGAAGCTGAAGCACAAAAGTGAGGATTAATACCAGTAGACCTTTGGTGTTCATTCTCTGTCAGCAGACGGACGCTGTTTCCTTCTTATTCTCTGCTCCACATCTGTGTGTGATGGAGGCGTTTCCTCTGTGTGGCTTAAGAACAAAAACAACTGTGTTGAGAAACAGCTTCCCCTACGAGCTAGTAACTCTTAGAGTTAAGAGTTACGTGACTTCTTCTATGTGCCTTCAACAGAATGCACACGACAGCTACGATTAAAAGGAACTTAAGTTTCACAAACGACAGTTTGAATCTTATAAAGAATTACATTTTAAGAGCATTTCACTCCCTTGCTTTGATAAACGTCTTCAGCAGAATGACTCATATTGAACGGATAGAGAGTTTGAAATATACACATAGCAGTTTATATCTTCATATCTCCATTTGTAGGTTGTAACATCTTCTCAGGTGTGAACTTGTATCTCCAAATGTTAGGATGCTGAAAACGTAATCCTTTTTTTTAACTGGACGGTGGTTGCTTTTTGTGACTTTATGAGGGTTTTATTCAGCCAAAGATCAAAGTCAAGACAGAGATATTATAGGAATATTACACGTCTGTGCCCTCAGTGAACAATATTACCGGTTAAATCATTCAGTGACTGTAGAGAGGGCCAACAAACAAAGTCCTTCCTCCCTTCCACCAGTTCAACTCCTGACCTAAGATGTTGAACATGTGATCAGTTTTTCCACTGAAACTAAATTAACTTTTATATCTGAGATCTATGTTGCTCATGGTGTGATGGAAATGATGTCATCATCTATTTAGTCATTTCCGTGTTGTAATCAAAAGAGGAAGTGGCATGTTAGGTACGACACCAAACACAGAATAACAAGACTACGAGTCTGCAGTCGATGCTGGCAGCTCTGTGACAGCGTGGTGCTAAGCTAAATGCTAACACATCTTAGGTTAGCGTGTTAGCATGCTATCATTTCCTCAGTAGCAGGAAACCCAAATTACTAGGATGATGGAAATGTCACCAGTTTTGCAGGTAAAACCAAAATACTGGACAAAACAGTATTACAGTAGCTTCATCAACATATTATTCATAGGCACTGCACAGCCACACTTCATATATGACAGTAGATTCATTTAAATATACAAGAACACTGAACAGACAGTACATATTACCACAACTTCATTAGAATATGGAAACAGCACTGCAGCCACAATGCATATTACAGTATCTTCATCAATGACGATAGCACAGTAAAGCCAAAGTGCACATTTGCAGTAGCTCCGTTAATATAGAAGTAGCACCGCACAGCCTCAGTGCATATGAGTAATGCCCTCTGGGGCCACTGTCCTGCTGCTTTGCTCCTCAGTCCGACTGTAGGCGCCTCCGGCTGCAGTAACCCACTTTCCAAAGTGTTTCTGTAGTTTATCTTGAGTCTGATTCTTCGGCCTCTTCCTCTTCCTCGTCCCTCTGGTGGCGCTCTGCAGTGTCCGTCTCCCACGCTGTGTTAGCCGAAGCAGCTCTGTGCGCTAGCTGCACCAGCGCGCTCGGTGATGTAACTATTTTAAGCCTTCTTTGTTTTTTGTTTTCTCTGTTTTCCTCTCGTTTGGTGCTCGGATTCTTTGACTTTTCGCCTGAAAACGTTACATTTCATACCCGCTCAGTTTCCTGTTCCTACCCTCACTTGACCCCACTGGTTACATTACATCGATGGGGTCAAAGGACACACGTGCTGATATTATAAGTTCTGGGATGCCTGCATAAAATCACTTTTTGTATCAAAACCATCAAAGACAAAAGACATTATTTACATCATTGATATTGTCAGATTCTGATTTAAATATCTAAAAGTCTGATTAGTGCACGCAAATTTGTGACGTCTCCTTTTCAAATAAAACAACTGACGTACGTCTCTTCTGTGAAACAACAAAAAACTATTTGAACTTTGGCAGAAACTACTAGTGTGTCCATGAACGATCCTATCGTTGATAGAAGACGCTGACTGAGTAACTGTGTTTTCAGGGCCCTAATGTCACGGGGCATGATGAGGACTCAAGCGCAGACAGTCAGGTGTAGTGAAAAAAGGGTTTTAATGAATAACCAAACACAAACAGAGAATCCAAGGACAAGACAAGAGGGGGGAAATCCGGCAGGACGAGGCAGGGCAGGCAGACTGGGAAACCGGGAACAGGACGAGCAAAACGGGCAGGTAGGTAGGAACACAAACAATGATCTGGCAGTGGGTGTGTGTGAGGCAGGGGTTTAAATAGTGAAGGAGGCAGAGTGAGCAGGTGAGAGTAATGAGCTGATGAGGTGAGTGTGACTGGCAGGTGCACTGAATGAACTGATTAGGTGAGTGAAAGGTGGAAAAAACTAGATAGAAGTGGCATAGCTGTGACACCTGAAGCCACTTTTGATGGTGTTTGAAGCCCTTATATTATTAAAATACACTTGAATTTGAGGATGGAGCCGCTCTCCGTATTTAATGTAAATGATAAAGATTTGTTGAAGTGAGTATGTCTTACAGTTTCATGAGTGTGTTCGGATTAAGTCCTGGAAGGTGCAAAATTACCCCTTTTTCAAATTCGTATTTTTTTTATTTCATACACTTGCAATTTTATTATAAAGATATTTTAAATATATAATTGTTCCAGTCATGATAGCAGGAGGAAGATAACTTTACCTCGTGTGGCGTCCCATCTGTCACTGCTGCAGCCCCGCTGAGGTTGTGTTTCTTCATGTACACGTGTATATCGTGTCATTTAATGTTAAGTGTAACAGAGACGCATGTGGTGTTGTTACATGACATGACACATGAGACTTTACATCAGCCTTTCTGACAAAAGACTGACATGAGGTTACACGCAGGCCTTTTATGTGCTTTGAAAGTGTAGGAAGTCTTCAAACCTGATGAGTCAGTTGTCTTTAATTGAATGTATATCACAGCACAAAATCTGACGTCAGAGAAGATATAGAGACAGTTATATGCATTGTATGTGTCTGTCGTGGGCGATTAAAAACATGTCCTCTGGATACTTAGAGTAGAGCGAAAAGAATCAGGGTCACCAGTAACCACAGCTGAGGTTTCTGCTGGAGGGCGGAGATATTGTTGAGTAACTTTTTCATAACAATGTTCTTTGAAAGAAGTGACCAATCACTGGGGACACAGAGCTGCTTCACTAACAAACTCAGGCTGAACATATTACGGATGGTTAATAGGACTGATATCAGGTATCAGCACATTTATTTGAGAAAAAAGAAGTAAAAGAAAGTGTTTAGTTCAACAGAGATCAAATAGAGAACGACAGCAGTACAATAATTCAAAATCTTTTGGAGCTCAATTTATCAATTTATGTCGCTACTTTAAGGTCGAAAAACACATTGACATATTAAATACATTTTATTTTGTACAGCGGATAAAGCAAAGGAAGTAGTGGCCTTCTGTATTTACACATCCAGCAGACCAGCGTGTGAACTCTGTTTGCTGCCCAGCAGCTTTAAAGTAGAGGAAACAAGGGTTGAGAGCGTCGAGGCTGAAGCACAGAGTACATGTGCCAAAAAACCTGTTCGCTAAATGAGGCTAAAAAGATCTGCAGAACTGCAAAGTTTATGACATTTCTCTGGATGTCCATCAATACGACAGATGTGAACGATATGAAGCCACACAGAAAACTGTTGGACAGAAATTCTTTCCATCACTGAAGGCGTAAGAAGCGAGAGTAATGTATGCTAAATATATCGTTTTAACTCAAAGCTCGATCACTGGTGTAGAAAGCTTGATGGGATTTGACTTTCTATTGAGCTGCAGCTGTTGATCTGGGCAGTCGAGCAGCAGCACGAGGTGCTTCTACGTTTTCATACTGGACGCCGTCGTCGTCGTTATTGACCTGAAACACAACACGACACGTGAGATTGTGGAAGAAATAGTTTCAAGGGAAAGAAGCAGAGCGACTGCAGCCTCTGTGGTCACAGACGTAGCTTCAGACACGAATGAGAAAAGTTACTTATTGTTTACATTTTTACTCACTTTGTCGTCATCAAGTGGTTTTTTGTTCCCTGGAAGAAAAATGAATGAAAAAAAAAGTCATTAAAAATCCTAAACGTGTGATTTATATTAACCAGCTCCACCAAATTATGATCTGAATGTCCTCACATCTGTTTCTGATGACAACGACGGTGATTACAATCATTAGAATCAGTCCTCCCATACGTAGAGCCCACATGACGTAGCTCAGAGGAGACCGACCTGTGGAGTCTGTTCAACACAATGAAAAAGAACATTAAATATCCTGCAGAACAATAGCTCCAACAGCTGAGAAACCAAGAGGCAAAGCTTTGTATCTGGTGGGCTGCATGTTATCTTACCCGGATCAGATGTTGTCCCACCTGTGAAGGCAGGTGTGTATTCAGCCTCTATCACCACACAGCTGT